GGTGGTCTGTAGTTACTATGACAACGGTAAGTTTCTGTTCATTTACATTTGTCAATTGCATTTCCTCCTATAATTGGAGGATAAGATAGGTCTTTGAAGGCCAGCATTAATGAAATTTCAAAACACTCATAAATGACACCCAATCATGACAACACTTACAATCATCAAGTGTTTTTGTTTTTTTCTTTCCTCTTTTTTTATTCTGTTTCATAATCTTTAAATTATCGAAGAAACATGAATCAGTCACAGTTTCAAATTGAAAGAGCTTAGTACAAATCTAATCTGTTCGTTTCATGAAAAAACACGATATTTGCATATTCACACTCAAGTTTGCATGTAAAAAGTCTGATATAAATTGCAAGGGAAATACCGAAAAACATGAAGTTTACCCACGATTCCTTAAAAAAAAGAAAATATCTGCCCGAGAACAAAATACTTCACAAAAAAATTGTCATTCATTATTAATGCTGAGCATAACTGCCATTTTATTGATTGGTTTTTGTATTGCTCATTAAACATCTCTAATATCAGTTTGACGACATTTGGTATTTCATTCGCAGAGGTGACGAGAATGTTTATTACATTTTCCAGCTAGTGAAGCGCGTAAAAGAAATTCTAATCATATTTATTATATTTTAGTCTGTACATGACCAGATGGCGAGCGAAAATAAACAACTCCGCGGGATGACATTGAAAATTTTGAAAAAAATCAAGAGTCGGCTTTGACCAAATTATTTTTACAGAGCACACCGAAATAAAATTCTAAACTTCTCGTAAAAGAAAATTTTCAAATAATCAGACTTGCTGTGATTGCTATCACTTCGATATTTAAAGAACCGTACAATCTCGGAAAAGAAGTTGATTGGCGATAATTTTCAGTCGTTGCTCTGAATGCACTCGACTTTCTCTTTCGCTATACCGAGCGAAAAAGGCTGAAATGAAAAATTTTTATTCAAAATGGTGCTAATAAAAGCAACATTAATTATTTAAAGGCGGTAGTGTTGCAGAAAATTTCATTCGCGATGCACGGAAGCGTATTCATTTGTGAAAACCAAGCTCGAGGTCATAAAAAATTAGAGATAGATCTGACTTTGTATGAGCAAGCGTATAATCTGCAGCGAGAAGGAAGAATTATCGATCGCCTTACCGTTTCAAAAGCGACCGGAAGATTAAAATATTGTTATTGTATGCTCTTTAGGTTGGATATGGAGATAAAACCCCCACTACCGCATGGGGAAAGGTGATTGGCTCCATGTGCGCAGTCGCAGGAGTACTCACACTAGCTCTGCCTGTTCCAGTGATTGTATCAAACTTCAGTTATTTCTACAATCTGGATAAAGAGAAGAGAGCGGAGACTAGCGACTATGAATCTGTTCCTAACACTTCTCAAGAGCGAATGTCTGAATCGCCGTAGATAGGATCGCCTGGTGTGTTTTCTGCGGATTCACCTGAATTTATTCCCGTCGAATTTGAAAGAACCGCGGTGTCAACATGCGTAATAAACGAAGGGTTGACATGAACAAACTTGACAATCGACTCCGCAAATATTTTTTTCCTCGAAGAATCATCCGCTGATCTTTCATCTCACGATTTTTAAAAGAGTTAAAGCCTTGTACACGTTTGGGTTTCACATGGTGAAGCGCTGGCCATGGTGCAAGCGTACCTTTTAATTTGAGACTCCAAATTGTCTTTGTGGTTTTTTCGATAACGTATGTTAATTGTAGTGAGGCAAAGTAAATCCACTTTTCACGAAATAACCAGAAAAGAAGCTTGATGGGAGCGTCACCAGTAGTTCCTTCCTTTCCTGTATTTTATCTGATATCAAGGCTTCTTTTCCGTACAGAGCTGGCAAACAAAGCGAAGATAATCGGTTTATACCACTGGGATATTCCACGATACCTATCAGTTTTGAAATGTTTTCCATGATTTTCCGAGAGATAGCGAACCGCTCTTCATTGAGCAAATGCAGTCACTAAACCATGTCTTTTCATTTATTCAAATCATGTATAAATTTCTCAGATCACGGAAGACTTTGAATGTACTAAAGAAAAAAAAAATTGAATTTTCAAAACAGTAAAGCAAAACAGTATCAATACAACCAATTTCAAATCTCTTGCAAAACTGAGATGTGTAAATTACCATTATCGTTTTAATTTTTCTGGATATGTTGCGCATGAAATAGATAAATTTTGTGCAGTTTCTATAAGTAGAAACAAATTGGTGAAATCGACGAAATCGAACGACTTTCAATCGTTCGATTTCGACCAAGCGAGGTAAACAGTGCGGTATCCAGTCTTAATCTATTTTCTTGAACAGGTGTCGATTTAGTCCCACAGATTGTATCTCATTGGATGGATGATCAGTTCACTTTTTTTCATTCACCATTATTATCTTTTTTTTTCTCTGAGTGAAACACATTGACTTAAGTAAATATTCATAGACAGGGCGAGCTCGGAGCTTTTGATCGAACGTTCTCTAAAATGAATAATTAAAAGTCATTTGCCGAGCTTTTAAAAATTTCTCAATTATAGAAACTGAATGTTTTCCACTTATTTCACTTAATTTCATTTTATACTTATTTTCTAACGCGAGCCAAAATGTCCTAATTTGTGAATGTAAGCGAATAATTGAGTGGCGTTTTTCGCAATTCTTAAGTGTGAAACTGACAAGCTCGGCTTGAAGCAAAGTCATTAGTTCTTAATATTATGTAGCATTTTACACCACATGTAAATCAAACGCAAAAGTTTTGTTTATTTTTTTTAAACCAGTTTTGGCCTACTGGGTGCTGGTAAACACAGGAGCTTTGAGGAAATCTCCTGGTCAGCTCTGATACTTCATGAATAAGAAATAAGTGCTTAAGCTTGTGATGGTATTTTGACTAGAAACGAAATATTGTAGAATATTGTAGATCTCGAGAGCGCTTGAGGGTTCTGAAGATAGCAATACAGAAATCCGGCGACAACAGCTGGGACTCTATTAGTCCTATTACAAAGCTCAACGGTCTTTTAAATACATTTATACATTCTCAGCAGTTTTCAAGAAATATTAATCGCACCACTTATCAATTTTGTTGTAAATTGGGTACATATGTCTAAAATGTTACAATTAACGTGTGAAGTGCGAACGGCTTTCCTTAACTTAAATCACCAATTTTCTATGAGGCACTAACAAAATTTAAAATTGACAGTCCCCTGAGGACTATGGATTTCGTGCGAATCCTACACAGCGCATTTCCAGTTACGCCGGGCGCGTTTCTTCATGAGCTACACCAACGGCCAAATTGATGCGTTTTTTATCATTCCTCATGGCCGTGTTGCAATTACAACTGAGATCAAATCCGTCGCATTTCGATTTTGAAAAACCAATGAAGAATATACGTGGTACATTCATACCTCAATCAGCAACATTCAGAAGGAAAGTTGAATTTGATGCGTTGAGAATAAAGATTTATGCTAATGTTCATTCGTTAGCTTTTATATCTGCAATTAGCCTCTTTACGTGTGTACAAGTATTTTCGCTGATACTCATTCTGAGAATTTTCCATTAAAATACAGTTCAAAATCTACCTTGTAGATTTAGCACAAATATTTTCACTGTACAAAAAGAGAATGATTAAATAAATGATCTTATGTATATCCTTCTTGCTGTTGTAAGTTAACAGAATCAGTTCGCAATCCAGTTTAGTCCTAGGGGATTTATCATTTTTCCGCTGGCAAGTTTCGGGCACCCGAAAGTCAGGGCGTCCCGGAGCTGTAAAAACAAGGGCGTCCCAACTTACCTGCTGTTTCCCCGCTCTATGCCTCAAAGAACACACAAAAACTACTAGCTATAAAGGCTTCATAAAGTTCAACCAAACGTCTTTTTTTTTGCAAAAGAGAGGAGAAGCTTTAGGGATAAGGAGTAGACTCAGAGACTCACAATCCTAACGCTTGTCTTTTATTCCTTTCCCTGGTCTCATCCGAATTCACTAATCGAACGACAACCAGCTATTTCAACCCAACAGAAGTAGTAAAGGGGTGACAGTTTAGTAGAGGGCCAATCAGGTTGCAGGATTTTCACATTCCATTCTGTCCGCCATTGCTGAAACCGAGTGGAGATATGGTTACGAGTCAAATGCCACGTGACGTGATAAGTTGACAATAACAGCACTTTTGTTTCGTGACAATAAGACTTGACAATGGTAATGGATGTAAAAATTCTGAAATCTGATTGGTAATTCCATAATACTGCATTCTGATAGGCTATCCACTATACTGCCACCCTTTACTAACAGAAGTCAGTCTAAACCTTTTAAATTCCATACAGGACTCGCACGTAACCTCCCCTCACAATACCAATACATAAGCATTTCACTGAAAAGCACGTGGTAAGAATAAGAACTGATAGACGAGATGATCAGCAGTCTCATCCCAAGGTCTTTGTTCCTCTCACCCACTTAGGGTAGATTGTCTAGATGGCTGGATATAACATCAAATTCTCCCAAATGAATTGCAAAGAGACGTACAGCAACTGGAAGCTTGGCTAGAAGAGAGAATTATTTATGATGTGGCTGACTCAAAGAGCGGGCCAGAAGGGACACATCATTTGCCCCGACTGGCTGCCAGAACGGTCAGGATTGGCTCGGGATTTCCCTCTTTGATCCCGCTTAAATTAGAGAGTCGAAGTACAAGTAAACTGAAATAATCCTGGTAAGAGCTGCAGTTAACCCTCTACACTCTAACATCAGTATGTATTTTGCCCATACTGTTCTACATGTATTTCTTAAATGCTTACAAGGAGAATTTGTTTGACAAGGAACTGCCGGATCATTTCCTTTTTCCTCGTGACCTTCATGTTTGATTCAAGGGTGATATTGTAAGGAGAAATTAGATGCTTGTTACCGTTAGGTGTTAGAGAATTGAAGAAATTACATAAAAGAAGCCTGAAAAAAAATTCTGGCTTCGACGGAATGCGATTCCGCGCCTCTCCACGGGGATGGTGGAATTAAATATATACGACAATTTCGTGACTCCCTTTTTAATAGTTATTTGCGAAACACAGACATTCTGCCTGCAATACAAATCTACCACAAACTTATCAGGCTCAGCAACAAAAGCGCTAGGAGACAAAACTTATCAATTCACGAAAACAAGGGAAGACGTGAATTAACAATCTGTTTTCATCAAATATTTATACACCGCTTAGTATATTTTAAAAATATTTATCATCACTTTTTTGCTTCTGCACTAAAATTTGAATAATTTTTTTGAGTTTCCAAATTTTGGATCATTCTCAGAGATGCATTTAAGACTATAAGATGAACACAACATTATAAAACGCCCGAATTTTTTCACCCTGACAGGGCAAACAGAGGTTCCATAATGCAGGTATCATTTTCGAAGAGCGTAAAAATATATACTTTTGGAGGATATTTTTATCTTCTCGTATACATGTAGTTTCATTTAGGTAATGCTATATTTACTGATTTCATCTCATTTGATAAATGTTAAATTTCTAGGGGACCTAGGATCTTTTCCTTCAGTTTGCAACATCTGTTACCCACAATTTAGCTGTATTCATGCGTGAAGCTCGAGTTCAGTACAACTCTCCTGACACAAAAAGTAGGAAAAAAAACAGGTAAACACAAGAAGTAGGGGAAAAAACAATAACAGGTAAAATTTTAGCAGACCTGGATTTCAGTGACAGTGCGAGGTGTCTGTCTCTCAACTTATTCCATTGTGCGAGTTACAGAAATCAGCTTTAGGAAACACTCGTACCGAGGGGCGAGATATTTCCCACGCACTTCCCCCGCAATGTTATTAATGAACCAAGCAGGTTAAAGAAAGTTGCTCGTTGTCAAGACTCAAATCCAATATATAATTTCTTAAATACGTCAGCTTTAAGTGAAACACCCAAGCAAGCCTCATCGAAAGGTTAACGGATATATTTAAAGGCTTTAGACCACCCAGAGACCAGCATCATCGCAGGAGAATGAAGATGAGTCATAGCTGATTTCTGTTTCAAGTTTATCATTTGAAATCCGCACTAGTCTTCCTCCATCCTCAAACACCCATTTCCCCATGACTTATTTTTATCTTTCTCGTGTTTTTTTAACGTAACAAACTATCATTTATTGCTCTATTTTAAATGGACAGTAGTCATCTCCCTCTCCGAAAAAACAAAAAAAACAAGTCAAAATGATGCTGTGTATTTGCCTCCACCTTTTTACACCCAATATCTTAATATCAGTTCTTAACAATGACTACTGATTCTTTATCAAAATGATACTTCTGAGAATTTGATGTTACATCACTCAATATCTACTCATCACTGATCTGCCAGAAATTCTTTGATATTTTGCGAAGAATTTCCCTTTTTTAGCCACTCGTGGAAGAGAAGAGTCAGCGCTTTAGTTAAATAATTATATATTGCTTCAACATTTCTTCCCTCCACATTGTTCTTTTCCTTAAATTTTTACCTCGATTTTAGGAGACATCTCTGAGATTTTTACGAGACGATGTTGGAGGAATCGTAACACATTAACTTATTATTACACGCCGGAATCGCGTGCCAACGAGGAGTTTAAAAATTACGTCATTTCCTGTGTTCACTTGACCTCCTCTCCCATCAAGCAGTGGATTTGACCTCATAGGAAAAACAAATAGACCCACTTTTACCGGAAATCTAATCATACAGTTGTTTGAAGAGTAAAAGTTTTCCGAGACGCTGGCGAATCGACTGCAAGTGACTGTTTCTGCATTGTGCGCGCTGTTCGACTCAGTTCATTTGAACGATTCTTTTGCTCGTGATAAAAGCTGCGGTGTGGAAAAAACAAATTGCGAAGTCCCTTTCTGAAAACCTTGTCCCTTATGGCATAAACATAGAAGTTCATACAGCTGTTAGAAACGGCGAGGTATAATCCAATGCGAACCAATCGCGGAGGGAGGTCAGATAACACCGCAAAAAGTTTCCAAACTGACACAAGAGTGTACACAGACCAGCAGAGACAAAACATTCCAATTATTATGAGGACAGTTTTTGTTGCTTTGTTTCTTCTCATGGATTGTTCTTTAGTCAAACCAGGAATCTGCATATTCTGCAACTGCTTCCGCGCAGCTTTGTAGATCATTGAATATGCAAGGATCATAATTAGAACGGGGACAAGAAAACAAACCAACCCCAAAGAAAGAGCGTACGATTTGTCCCCAAGTCCTTCTCCATTCCAATTTGGCTTGCAAGTGGCAGTACTTCCCTCATATACCAATTGACCCCAACCGAATATGGGCGCGATCGCCCAGAAAATAGAATGAAACCAAACCAACGCAATGGTGATAAATGTCCTGCGAGGAGTGACGATTTCTGTGTAACGCAAAGGTCTTGTAATAAAAAAATATCTGTCAACTGAAATTGCACACAGATTCATCAACGACGCATTCAAAGAAGCGCTTACAATAACCGAGTGTGCGCGGCATAAAGGATTTCCAAACACCCAAGACTGTTTGATTACACTTGCCATCAATAGAGGGCAATAGATCATTCCGACGAGCAAATCCGCAACGCTCAGATTGCAAAGAAAGAAATAATTCGGTTCGTGAAGTTTCGATGTGCGCCATACAACAATTAAGGCGAGAAAATTGCCAATGATAATTCCAATGTTAACGACGCAGAGAAATGCAGCGCTGATTGCAACTTCAGTGGTAGGAACAAGTGAATCTTGTGAGTCGTTGACCATGATGGCAGCAAAAGCGGTGATGTTCCGTCCGTAACTTGATTCAACTGAGGGCTATGTAAAGTATTTCGGCGCGGTTGATACGTGACGAGTGACAATCAGAGTTTATCGCCGCACATTCGATACACATTAGTGCTCTCCGAAGCGTATCCCAACCGGCCGGATAAAACACGTTATGACGACCATTCAGCTGGCTATTGTCACGTCGTTAATACGTTCTTATTTTATAAATAAATAGTGGACGCAACACCCGTCACTTCTACGTGTGATGATCTCAACTTCAATCAAATAGAAGCGAGCAAAAACACAATAGTCCTCAAAACGAACAATAAAAGCGCAAAATGAAAACTCTCTGACAAAGTATGGACGATTTTTGTTCAAAATATCCTTGCCGTGTTTTTGAACAATTATGTTAAAAGACACGAATAGCTTTAATGTCAAACTTCTCCGAGCCACAATGGCATATTCCGTGTCACCGTCCCAAAAGAATTTATCGTCGCTACTAAATACAACTATCTTTTCTGGGAAAACAAAAGTGAAAATCACATCAGAATTTTCAACAAAACCAACGTAATGCAAAATTACTTACTCAAAGCAACGAGGGAAAAATTATTTAATCAAATTTTGATGGTATCTTTCATCCTTTCGATTACATATTTTTTGAAGAGAAATTCTTAATAATGGCCTAGAAAGGATGTTTAATGAAGCATCTGGCACAAACTCTAGAGAACATGCAAAGAAATATTTACAATTCCCGTTTCGCTGAAGTATAAAACAAATAAAATCGAAGTGCACGAAGTCAACAGAATGAATGAATATTTAATTGTTTTTGACAAAAAATTATGCTAAATAAATGAGTGACCTTGCATTTGATGAAGCGACGGAACACGGACAAGCCACTAAGTAGATAGTAGTTCATTATGAACAACTTTTCGACAAGACGCATTTTTTAAACTTCTACAACAGATGACAAATAGTTGATAGACTTTCAGTTTTTATCACGCGACAGTTACATTTAAATAGTTGTTCTGGAGAATAGAAATGTAGCTATACCGTGGAAGCTTCAAATGAAAACGCATAGTACCAAGGTGTGTCATTAACAACTTTGAATGCAATGTTCTTTGCCAGCTTCACAAACAAATGACCTAGCTTCTTAAAATTTTCCCAATCATAATTTTCATAACTGCCATTTCACAATGGACACCTTAACAAAGCATTCACTCATTACAATAGAAACACTAACGAAGATTTTCTGGGACTATCAAACACATATCAACAAACTCCCTCTCTCATGGCGACCTCTATTTTGGGAAGCAGTTTTTTAAACGAGGTATTTTGTGTGCTTAACTGACGGGTCCAGCTTAATTTTATTTCGCCAATATAACACCGAAACATTTCAAAAGTTCAATCACGCTAACGCTGTAAACGCACCATAAGCTTTTGGCAACATGCTGGTCAAATTGTATAAGTACACCATCTTTGTTTTCCCACATAAAAGCACCCAGCACAATTAAAAGTATTGAGTGAAGTATCGAGGACCTTCACACGATAATCACAGGAAATGAATGTTACGCATGGGACGCCCTGACGAAAAATCAGAAGCTCGCTTGATTGCGGAAAGACAATAATTTAAAGGAAAATTTGCTGATCTCCTTTTCCTGTCTTCCGACACCTTTCGTGACTACTAATTTCACACGCATCAAACTGTAATTCGAATCTAACGATTTCCCAAATAAATTACCATTTCTGTCCTTTTAGCGCGAACCACCCGCAAGTTAGCTTCATTAACATGTCAACTTTAAAACAACTTGCACATTTAATACAAACATATATCTGATAACTCTGTGTTGAAAGTGCTAAAGTGCGCGTGAGATTTAAAACGTGACTTCTACAAGCGTTTCACCAGAGTGAGTAACGCCGTACGTGATGCATTGGAAATGTTTACATTGAACTCACTTGATGTTTTTTTCTTATCTAGAAATTTACTGATATTAGCTCTAGTGTCGTCAAGTTATGCTCTGATGCAATCTGACATAACAACCTAAAAGTTTCAGTCATTTCCGAGACGATTCCTCCAAGAAACCAAATTGATTTAGTTTACAAGGTCAAGGTTTTTCTGATAAAAAAAGAGCGGAAAATCGACTTGAAATAAAAACAAACTAATTCTTTGATGGAAATGTTCGTGTTCTAAGTACCATTAGGCAATATTAAAAGCGTCAAAGACGATAAAAGCAGCTTTAAAAATAACATTTCCTTTTAATCAAACATCGGTTATCAGAGAAATTGAAAATATCGTGATGGCGACGAGATACTGGTCTCACGAAATTAAAATTGAGTTACTTTCCACCTTAAGAAGGAAAAACAATTGCAAGCCTTGCGAACAATTCCGGTCACTAAGAGCGTTCTCTTAAACGAAAAGAAAAAATAGTGGCCAAAAGAAGCGTAAACCAAAAGACAAAAACTGAAACAAGCATTTCATTACTTCAGATATTCAGTTTATGATACGGTAGCGGGTTTTATTGCAGCAATAACGATTCAAACAGAAACGTTTTGCTGCAAAGGGTTATACTTAATATCGATGATACTGCGACATCAAAATATAATTATAAATACCTTCTCTGCTCAATTGTACATACCATTCTTCTGAAACAATTTGACAGTTATCGACTTCAAATGCGTAAAATAAAAAAAAAAATTACATAGTAGGCCCTAACACTCATCATTTAAAAAAGAAATATCGACTCTCAGGTCTTTTATTGACAGGAAAGGTACAAACAGAAAACACACAACTATTTTCAACGGTTTAGAGTCCAATGACGTAAGATCTTCCTCCGGGATTATGAAGGGGAACTGGGGCGGGACGTGATATACACCACTCGTACCAGACCTTTTTCGGTGTGCATTTTCTCCAGAAGTGGCAGGCTACTGTTGAGCCCGCAGTAACATACTGCGGTTCCTTCAAAATAACCAGAAACAAATTGGTGTCAGAAACTTAGGCGTTACCCGTGGCTAGTTCAAGATAATCAATGTTTCCTTACCTTTATGGGAAAGAAAAATGGAAACCAGCTGAACATGCCTTCCGAATGAGTGTCTGGTTTGATACCTAGAACAGAGAAAGCATATAGAGAGTTAACGGTAAAAATGAGCGAGGTGAAACAACACATATCGCAGTGAAAACTTTATCTTTTTAACCGAAAAGGTAAACAAACGGCAGCCACTGGCAAGGACAGCTGACAGTTGGATTAAGAGAAAGCAAAGGCTTTCTCTGATTGGCGAGAACGGCTGCGCGTGTTGCATACAAATGATAGAGCTCGCACCGAGCAAAAGGTAACTTCATGCACAAAAATCTCTTTTTAAAGCCATATTAAGGTAAACGTTATTGTTCACACTGGACTTACTTAACATAATGTCCCCATAGAGTACTGTTTCAAAGTATCCAGCGAAGCCGTGCATTGTAAAACTCGTCTTCACATCAAATTCGAGTGATTTCACTCGAGAATTGTCGATTCTGCTCGCTGAAATCGAAAAGACAAAGTTCTTACCAGTTCACCAGAAGTCCGCAAACTGATCGTGTATTAACTAGCTTTGAATTTCGTTCACTCACCTCTGTTTGGATGTGCGAAAACAAAGCACTGCTGCGGTGGTGACATAGCGGTGATATTATGAAGTCTTACAACGTACGGAGTCTCAAACGGGGCCTGTGGCAAAAAAGACCGCGAAACTTTAGCAAGCGGTCGTGGCGAATATATCTAGCTTTTAAATGGGGGAGAGGGGTATAAAGATACGTAAAACAAGTGCGAATTATAACACAAATATTTTCCAGATGTTACTAGAGGACATCAGCAACACGAATCCTCTTGTGGCAAGCACAATAAGTTTGTGATAAAATTGAAAAAGAGAATCCTTCCGCTGATTTGACCTGTGATGTGAATCAAACCGTGAACGGATTCGAAAACACTATGATTAGAATACATACAAACATCTCACAGCTGACACTACAAAATTCGTACACCAAAGGATCAAGTAGGTGTTTGTTACTCAACCGAAATCATTGGAGAATAGTCAGTAGTCTAAGATTCCAAGATATATCAACCCTGTACACCCTAACATCAGTATGCATATTCTCCATACTATTTTCTATACATTTCCTATGGTGCTGACAAGGAGAATTTGTTTACAGTCTAGAACTTCTTTAGTTGATGATCATTCCCTTATTCTCGTGACCTTAATGTGTGACTCAGAGTGATAATCTAAGGAGAAACAAGGGTAACTATAAACCTGCAAGGAGCAGTGAAGATTTTCAAGTTGTACTTACTTTCAAAAATAATTACTAATCATCACTGATATATATGAACGAACAGACTAAAATACTGATTGTTTACTAACCAGGGGTCCCTTGGTTGTGTCGTTTCCCTGTGACACATCGTAATGTAATTTGGGAGCAGATATTGGTGCAAGAAAAGACGTGTATTCACAGGGAATACTGATCCCATCATCTGGAAACAGAAAGAATGAGGTCAAATCATGCTAACGGTATACCTGCTAAATGCCTAAGATTTTTATCCACAAAATGTAAGCATTCTCAAAGGTTGTGTCAGCTCGAACTGTTATGGTCGGCATCACGTATGCGTGTGCTGGCGCGGAATATCGGAGTCGATCTACTAAAGTGAAAATCAGGCCGTGGCGTTAGAGTTGGCTCGTATTTAATCCCAGGGCAGATAAGAAACTTTTCTAAAATGTGGAAGTTTTGGTGACTTGAGTGATTGATTATTGTTGTACCAGCGGTTACTTGTTTGAAAATGTGCTTCAGTGCACTTAAAAACGACCCGCCATCTTGCGTTGCGTTTGTCTCTGAGTCTCTTCCTTCTCCACGAACAACAACAACAGAAACGAAAAAGTTTAATCCATTTACGATGTAGCTCTATAGCAGCTGACCTTTCAGGAACCTCTGTGCTCCATCTAAACACTCTGGAGAAAGTTCATTGTCACCAAAAGATCCCAGCAACTCACTCACAAGTATATCGGCCTACGGAAAAAAATAGATAAATAAATAAACAAGTGTAGGTTCAACAAGACCTTTGTTTACGAATGGAGTAACGGACAATGATAGCGCTTTCTTCCTTGGTCCAAATTTGTAATTCTTTTCGTCCATTAGAGGCAAAATTCCCCTCAATTGACCTCTAGCTCAACTTTTTCACTTTACAA